CAAGGAAGAAATTCTTCCCTGTGAGGGTTCTGGGGTGCCGGCACAGGGTGCCCAGAGAAGCTGTGGCTGCCCCATCCCTGGCAGTGTTCAAGGCCAGGTTGGACACAGGGGCTTGGAGCAACCTGCTCCAGGTTGGAACTGGATGAACTTTAAGGCCCCTTCCAACCCAAACCATTCTGTGATTCTATTAAAACCATTTGCAGCTCTACTTGATATATCTTCTAAAGAACTTCTTCCTGACATCTAATCTAAATCTCACTTCTTTCAGTTTAAAGCCATTCCCCCTTGTCCTAGCACTACCCACCCTTGTAAAAGCCCCTCTCCAGCTTTCCTGTAGGCCCCCTTTAGGTACTGGAAGGCTGCTGTAAGGTATCCCTTGAATCTTCACTCTCAGTGTTCAGCTGGATTCATCAATTCCACATCCCCTGCACACACATCTTTCAAGCAGTTGTTTCCAATTGTAAACTTCGCAAATTCAGCCTGTACTCTGAGGCAATTTTGGTTTTGATAAAGCACAAAAGTGGGATGATCTTCAAAAGAGGAAACAATAAACTTTAAGTCTTAGAAAGAACCAATTCCTTCTGCAAGCTGCAATGTTAAAATCGAAACACGGAACATTGCAGGTTTAGAGAGACCAGAAGTGGGCAGTGAACTTCATAAGGGGGAGGTAAATGGGAATTGGATGGAGTAACTACACACACCACTCATTCCGTCTTTTAATCAAATGGGACCACTTCATGTCTTAACTTTCATAACTGTTTCTTCTCAGCAAATCCTCAACTCTGACTGATTCAGGTCAGAATCTTTTTGGTATTCCACCTTCTGCGAGCTGTGGGCTTCTGGTTTGGTTTTGTTGTTTGTCACTTCTAATAGCGAACTCTTGAATCTCCTCAGGGGCAAAAGAAACCTCTGTTCTACCCTTTCCCTTTCCATTCCCTCTCCTTCTGCTTGGACATGAGCCTTATTTTCAAACTGTAGAAAAACTACTATGCAAAATTAAAGTTTGATGTTTGCCCTTCGGGTAATCAGACAAGAAGAGCAGTTCAGGCTATAGTGTTTTCATAATGTTTGCTGTCTCCACTGTTAATGTACATCAGGGGGGTTTGTAGCCAGATTTCTCACCAGACCCAAGGAGTGATGGACAGTAAAAGCCTCTGGAACTTCTGTGTACCACAGTAACAAACAAGGTTGCCATGAAAATTAATCTCTCCAACAATAAATGTATGCCTTGCTCCACGCAGCATCACTTGCTACCCGGACATTAAAAACATCAGCATGGTTTTTAAGGCCCTTTTGAGTGAATATTTCATTCTGAAGCAAAATTATACCAAGTTAATTACATACACTGGCTAACATCTGACAGCTTAGAAGAGAAAGCCTTCCTGCAAATGTCAGCACCACTTGAGCTGCGAGCTGATGCTCTCCAGTTTGGGAATCTGGCATCAATCTCCAAATACGTTTCCAATAGACTGGGTTACTTGGCTTTGCTGCTGGCGGAGAAGGACTTGCACAGAAACTGGCCCCCAGTTTTCAGAGCGAGGAGCCTTAGGGTTCATCTCAACTGAACCATGAAATGGAAGCAGCGAGTCTCTGCAAGCTGCTGCCAGGCTCCTGCTGCCGGTAGGAGCCCGGAGGCTCTTGCCAGGATTAGACAGTCACTGCAAGAGACAATGCTTCTGCACAGGAAAGGTCTGGGATGTTGTACATGCTGCCGTGTTCATGTGGGTATGAAACAGCACTTAAAATCCAGTGCTCAGTTACACAAGAGCAAATCCTGCAGCCCATGTTGTGCAGACAGAGTAGGAGTGCCACAGGAATCCCCTTCTGCTGCCAAGGCTCTTACCGGCCACCCATGGACTTCACTGGAAGGCAGGTGACTACTGACAGTTATGGAAAGCAAGAAACAGATCCATGGAGTAGAGCGGGCCAGGGCTGGGGTTACAATGTCAGGTGTGCATGGCCCAGCTTCCCATTCCCGGTCTCCCAGAACAGGAGAGGGCTCACCGCCACAGGCTGCACACATCCTACTACGGCTGATTCCTATTTCTCTTAACAGCTAAGCCTGGGCCAAGCATCTGCCAAGGCTGGACATGATCAAACTAGGGAAATCAGCAACTCCCCTCACCGGGATATTTGCAGGAATAGCAGTAGAAGAGAATAACAGACTAGCTGAAGCGGAGTATCTGTAGTCCACAACAGCATGACAGGAGTCTGGCACTAATGAGAGACTGGAACTTCACCTTCCTTCTGTGAATTTTGAAATTTAAAATTTGGTTCTCTATAGCAAAGTTCCCCCCGCAAAGCAGGAACCTCCTGGCTAGAAAGAAACCTTCCCAACAGCCAAGTCAAGAAAACGAGTGTTTACTTGATACATGTTTGAAGCATCCATGCTGCGGAGCCTACCTCTCTCTTCTCTCTGACTCTGCAGTGCTCCAGCTTGACACTGAAAGGCTAAGGTTTCAAGTAAAACATTAAGTCCATCTACTGAAGACAAATCTAAACACATCATTCTTCAACATAATAAAAATCCACCGATTTAGTACCCTGGCTTGACGTCCACAGCAATTACATCCCTCCTTGCCCATCACCCACATTCCTTTCTACATATAAAAGTGCTCTTCATTCTACCTTCTGGGTTAAGTCACTCTGAACTGCTTTTGCAGAGCTAACCTCAAAACCTAAAAGCATCAGTGGATTTTCTGGAGTCATTCATACCAATGCTGAGGCACTTGCCAGCAACTTAAAGCAAGTCAACTATGGTTAAGCAGGGATCATTTTGTACCAGAAGGCTGTAGTTAAACATGGGGACCGATATCCTTCGAAACACATCACCCATCTCCCAAACAGCATTTATGGCAATCTGCTATAAAGTATTGCAATTCTGCATCTCTTTCTACATGCAACACATGCATAAATGATTTCATTTATCTGCACTTAGTGTAATTGCACGTCTAGACGTCTAAAGAACTTATTATCACCAGCCTTCCAGCATGAATTAGTGCTGTTAAGCTGAATAATTTTCCTCCAAATCCCAAATTACAAGGGTTTGCAAGGCAATTTGGATTAACCTGGCCTCATGATCCTGCTGCTGACATTAACATTTCCGCAACAGCAAAACATCTTGAAATTCAAACTATCAATCTGACAAGAATTAATTTTTATCATTTAAATTCCCCCCCCTAGGGCCATGGATGTTCCTGAGACATTAAAAATAAAACCAAACAACAAAGCAGCAGACAATAGGGACAGTCTGTATCCAAACTGCCTGCCAACAGCAGTGAGGAAGAACGCAAGACACCTAAGCAGCAACAATTATCGGATTATTGGAGCATTAAACAGCCCCAAACCCAGCAGTTCCCCATCACCAGGACACACCAGCATCAGTCAAGAACTAAAATGAACAAGCTTATCAGCTTTTACCTATTTCTGCTGCTGGGCTGATTGCTTCAGGGAACTGCAGCCAGAGCTGCTGTAGGGAGGCTGGAAGAAGAGGTGAGTCCAAGAGATGCAGCGAGGCAGAGGTGGGGACCCCGGGGCAGGAGGAAGCCTGGTTAGTGGGAACTACTGCTCCGTGCTGAGCATTCCGTACAACAGGAGAGCTCCCTGGTCTCGTGGTAAAGAACCACACTTCCCACCAGCAAAGCAGGGCTGTTCCCTGCAGAGCTGCCCCAGCACAGGGTACTCTGCTTGCATGGTCCCAGCAGAATGGACACAAGCCAGGAACAGCAAGTTGGATGAAGTGGTATTGCTCTTACTTCTACCTTTATTTAAAGTGGGGTCTAAACAACAGATACAGGTTATTCCTACCTTTGAAACCATGCAGATGTTTTTGGCTTTTTTAATAAATGATTGAACTCTAATACTGTTACATAAACCCTGGGTACTATTTAATAAAGGACAAGACTTGTTTTAGCCTCCCCCATGAACACATTTTTTATCATTACTCCAGAACTGATTTTACCTCGAGGTGAAACATCACATTTTGGATGTGGAATTTTCTTTCCTGCAGCTCCAAGCTCTGGCCATTGCTAAAGCAGCATCAGCAAGGTCACCAATTTCTAAGGTGATCTGGCCAGCTTAGAAAGGCAGCTAAATGGGACTTCTAAAGAAATATTTCAGC